AATTTAATATTTTAACTATTAAACTTAAGGTAAAGGTTTAGACTCATGAACTCCATATTGGCCAAATTTAGCCTACATGAAAACCAATGGATTTTAGAGACAGAACATGTTCAAACAATCTATAATCACCAAAGAAATATAAAATGGACTGACAGCTATGTTTACACAGCTTACAGTATAAGATTTCACTTTATATTCAATGAACAGATAGCAATACTGGGCTATTCAGTAAATACATGTTGTTGAATACTGTAACTCTGGTTGATTTTAAAAATGTTTAAAAACGACCTTCGACCTACCACCTCAAACTTAATCAAATTATGATTTTTGTAAACTAGCATACCTAGGGCAAATGTCGGAATATATCTTAGATTGATCGGAAACAGTTCCAAGGTAATTTACAAGTGTTGGACATCAGTTTGGCACTAAACTAAAATAACTTATGTGTATGATTTAAACTTAATTAGGCAGAAACAAAAAAAACTTTTAAGTCAATTTAGTGTTTAGATTTTGGACATGGTGCAATTATTTGCACTAAATACACCTAATATAAACAGTACATGTTATACAGTCCAATACGAACACTTAATTTCAAAGATATGACCAAAATACGGATTGTAATGACTCCATTTGGTGGAAATTCAAATTTTGACTCGCTTGTAAAATTAAGCAGTATTTACTTCGGACTAACGACGCTAATTCTCATCAAGATGCAGTTTTTTAAAACTAGAATACCAAAGGAATGTTGTATGGCATAATTTATTGTGATCGGAGGCAGTAAAATATGAAAAAATCATGAAAAATAAACGCATACCTACCATGCTTCTGTGATAGTCGAATCCTTCCAAACCCTTGTGTAACATTGCATCGCTTGTAATTCTTTGATTCCCGTTGAATTCATCTTGTTTATGAATTTTGCACATCGCTTCCATAGTATACTTATGTTATTTGAGAAAATTATATGAAAATCCAATTGTTATCGTGTAAAAACAAGCAGTGAAGTACTCACACGATATATGAACTGGCCGCCATGTTATCACCCGATTCATTCGATCAATTTCTCATTCTAGCATCTGATTGGTTTTGAGCGCCCAATACGCGATTTTGTAAAAAATCTCCTCTTAATAATAGTTGTTTTATATGCTACTGACTGATGCAATTTTTCGCTCTTTGTACTGAGTGTACCCATCTACTCTGTGGTGTAGCTGTGTAGCACCTTATACAGTCGATGTATAACGAATATACGGTCTATTAAAGCAATATAAAGCGGCACTTAAAATATTAATTGAATGCCGGTGTCCCAGGATTTTCGCCCCCCCCTACAATTTCGCCCCCCGGGGGGCGAAAATCCTAGGAAATTCGCCCCCCTTTAGGAAATTCGCTCCCCTTTAGAAACTTCACCTTTTCTTTAGGATTTTTGTCCTCCGTTCAAAAGTTCGACCTTCCTAACAGTTGCATGGGATAATTATTACATGGCTTTAGTCATTTGAAATCTACGGAGCCCCGGAGGGGCCATCAATAAAAAACACAAACTTTTTTGTAAAAAAAAAACACAAACTTTTTTTTGAAAAAAACACAAACTTTTTTGGGGGAAAAAAAAACACAAACTTTTTTTGAAAAAAAAACACAAACTTTTTATGGAAAAAAAAACACAAACTTTTTTTGAAAAAAAAACACAAACTTTTTTTGGAAAAAAAACACAAACTTTTTTTGGAAAAAAAAAACACAAACTTTTTTTCAAAAAAAAACATAAACTTTTTTTTGAAAAAAAACAAACTTTTTTTTGAAAAAAAAAACACAAACTTTTTTGGCATGGTAGACTTTACGGGTAGCGGATTGCGGAGTGCGGATTGCAGATGCGGATTACGGATGCGGATTGCGGATGCGGAATGCGGATTGCGGATGCGGATTGCGGGTGCGGATTACGGATGCGGATTGCGAATGCGGTTTACGGATGCGGATTGTGAACCCATGCAAATCGTTTATTTCTTCGGAAACAAGCCACAATAATTGCCTGTAGCTACTTGTAGCTATGCTATGTCCCCTAGGAAATGGCCATATATGTCTTGGTTATAACGGAGTATATCTGTGTTAGAATGAAGCAGCCGAATATTTCGACAATAAAGAATAAACCAAGTTTGAATAAAATGAAACACTCAGATTCAAACATTTCGTAAGTCACATCGCGTGTATGGCGTGTATGGAGCTAAAGAATTCATTGACCGATGACAAATAGTGACAAAGCAAATATAGTGACGTTTAGTGTTTACTGCTAGACATACATCCAGGCTCTAAATAGTTGCTTTCAAGAAAAATTAGGTAGATACATAGATGTTTATTTACCCTAATCACTACAAATGTTTAAGTTGTTAATAAACAACCTCAAGAAATCGGATTTTGTGCAAGGCTGCCAAGGCTGATGATATTCTATTTATTTTAAATATTCTGGAGGAAACACAGTGAAGGTTAGTTTTTATAGCGAATACTATTTATCAATACTGATTACTGTTGATTTGAAACTCGATTTTGATAATGATACGGTGTCGGTGAAACGAGGACGCAAAATCATTGGACAATGGCGGATTTTCAAGAAAATCATTATTTTCAAAATAGGCCGTTTCAATTTTAATAAGTTTTCGTTTCAACTGTGTCTTTAAAGGTTTATAACTATATATTTTGAAAGCTTCAAATGCGTGTATTTACACGCGCAGCAAGGCGAGATTTTGAAAATGTAATAGATATTTTTGAATTTCCGTGGCATAACAACAGTTTGTTGCGAACAGTTTCTCGGCGAATTTTCTACTAACCTGAATATAAATCCAACTAAAATGTATGCATTTTCATAAGCTTTCAAACCATCCGCGTTGGGGGTGTATGCCGTTAAATTTCGAATTAATATAAGCGGTTGAACCTCGTGCCTAAAACCAGACATTATATTGTCCGACTAGAATGTGTATTTCGACGGCAATTTTTACACCCTCGTTTAGGCAACGAATTCTCGCTCAATATTCTAGCTACAGTATTATAGCTCGTACCAAAATGTAGCTGAATTCACCAGCTATCTGACAATTTACGTAAAATTATTGTACCTGTAATATTCGCACAGATATAGTCGAATAAAAGTCGTATGTTTATGTTGCATTAAACTCTCTAATTTTAATTCTGGTTTCAAATTTTGTTTACATTGTGTGATTTTGACCCCGTCGTTTAGACAACGTTTTCTCGCTTAATATTGTAGCTACAGGAATATAGCTCCCGCTAAAATGTAGGCATTTTCACCAGCTATCTGACAATATGCGTAAAATTATTATACATGTAATATTCGCACAGATACAGACGAATAAAAGTCATGTTTATGTTCATTAAACTTTCTAATTATAATTCTGGGGCCGGTTGTATAAAAACGTAATTAGCGCTAACTGTAGTTAGCGTTAATCACTGTAGTTAAATCCTTAAGGGACCGCTCATTATTTATTGTACAGGGGGGGATTGAGGAGAAACTGGGGGGGCCTTCAAATTTTTCAAAACCTGAAAGGGGGGGCTTTGAAAAAATACAGAGAGACGAAAGAAGGGGGGCTTTGAAAATATTTACCAGTTTGAAAAAACAGTAGTTTTAAAAAAGTATCACAAAACAACTTAACAACAAATAACAATATTTATAGACTTTAATATTCATAAATGGAAGTCAAATAAAAAGTCTCCCATGTTCATGTAAATAGACAATTCCCATTATAGACTAATTTTAGAACTAGGCAAAGAGATGCAAATCAAGGCCGAATTTTGGTGAAAATAGTGGGGGAGGTGGACAAAAATTTTAGGAGAGGTGCAGCAGTCTAGCTCACAACTCCCATCGAAAGTTAGGGCTTATTGTAGAACAGGCCAATATCAACAAGGTGAGGTATGCATGTAGTGTACATATGTACCAGTGTATTAATGAATTATGAATGTATGACTCCAATCTTGCCCTTCATTACAATTGCTACACTGTTTCTTTCAAAACATTGCATTAAAAGGGTGCTTGACATGGCTATGACTGTTTCAATTTTACAGAGAAAACTTTCTTACGTCACAAAGTGTAGATCCTAAGCAACCACAAATTTTCACTTTGTTCCATCATTGAAACTTTCCCAAGGGGAAGTGCATGACCTTTCAAGAGAGGTGGGAAAATTCTCAAGAGAGGTGGAAAAATTCTCAGGGGAGGTGCGCACCTCTCCACACTTCCCTCAAAATCCGGCCTTGATGCAAATAAATCACCACAGCTAGAAAGAGCATACTAAAATAAGTAAATTATTGCAAAGTTTGGTTGCGAATTGTTGCAAAATACGGAAAATATAGCCTTGCAAAGTTTGCAAATTTTGTACACTTTTGTATTGCATACGAAAATTGCAATTATACAAAAGAATACAAAATTTACAAACTTTGGAAGGCTATATTTTCTACATATTTGACAACATTTTGCAACCAAACTTTGGAATTTTAGTAATTTTAGTATGCCCTTCCCGGGAATATACTTTTTTTGCTAAGATAAAAATTAGTCTATAATGGGAATGTCTATTGGTCCCCATTACCTATTTTTCTTTCTCTAAAATAAACAGCTAGAGTTTTTGTTTCTCTAAATAAAGATAAAGAGCTAGAGGGGGGGGGGAATTTATGTTCTTGTTTTGCCTGTTGGGGGGGGGGCTTTGAAAATTTTACTTGTCTTAAGAGGAGGGCAACGAAAAAATATTACATCTGTAGAGTTTCTCCTCAGTCCCCCCCTGTACAATAAATAATGAGCGGTCCCTTAAAGTGATTAATTTTTCCGAACAGTCGCTTTCGGTATGCAGTCAGGGACTCATTAATGTGAATTTTATTAGGTCTTGTAGACGTAGTACTTTGGTCGTACTGCCCGTGATATCAGCGGCAGGTCATTTGATGTTTTTCCGGCTAATCTGCCTCTTCGATAAAATTCATCTCTCATTTTCCGATGCACAAACTTAGCTATCAACCGATGCACAAACTTAGCTATCAACATTTCTCGTAGATGGTAGTCTATGAGCTATTGATATATGATGTTCAGAAATGTTTGCTATACCCATCAATTCTCCCAACTCTACGGTTAACTGCTTCGGGTTGTCATTAGAGGTTACTGGAATGCCTGTAATTTCTATACAATCTCGCCGAGAATATTGATGCATCTCGTCTAGTTTAACATCTTGCTCTTTTAAAACCTTCTCAAGATCCAATTCCGAAACTTGCTTCTTTGTACTCTGCCGCAACGATTCCAGCATGCTATCGTACTTTTCTGCAAGAAACGCTTGACTGCTTTCAATTTTGCTTTTACAGCTTGAATATTATTTATCTCGAATTGGTTTAATTTCGTCGCGAATACTATTATGATTATTATTACTATATTTATATTTATCCAGGATACCCACGTCACCGAAGTGTTTTTCAGTGGGGTCCTGCATTATAAATTTCAACTTCAATATACATATACATTACAAAATAACATGCAAATCTACAATAACATGCGTTAACATACTTATACTATATATATATATATATACAAAACGTAATGGAACTAAGACTATGTTTACTATGTAATTCTCGCCTACACAGCGTTTTTTAATAGAGTTTTAAACTTGTATAACGAGTTAGGGTTTCTAATGTCTGGTTCTAGGTTGTTAAAGTCTTTTGATGCTTGGTAGCTTGGTCTTTGTTTTCCCTTGTTTGTGTTCGTCTTTGGGAGGTGGAGGTCGTTTTTTCTTCTCGTGTAATAGCTGTAAATGTCTTCGTTCTTTGCTAATTCAAATTTAAAGTCAATTAAATCATTTAAACATTTATAAATAAATATACATCTATGGTTATGTCTTCTAGTTTTAAGTGTTGTCCATTTTAGTCGTCGTAGTGCTTCCGTTGCAGAATAGCGTGGATGTTCATCTAAGATCAGCTTTGCAGCTTTGTTCTCTAAAGTTTGAAGGGAATCCATCAGCACCGAATTGTTCTTATCACCCCAAATGGTATCGGCATAATCAAACAGTGGCAGTATTAGAGACGTATAAAGAATATAACGTGTATCCAAGTCCAAGAAATCTTTGATGCGTCGTAGAACACCAAGTCTTTGATTAATTTTGGAGATCGTTTTGTCAATATGCTCGTGCCAAGATAAATCTTCACTAAAAGTAACTCCAAGATATTTCATTGATTTCTCCTGTGATACTTTTTCGTTCTGAATCGTGATGTTTACATTGATAAACGACTGCTTTCTGTTGGTAAAGATCATGAACTTGGTTTTCTCGTAGTTTAAAGTTAGGAGATTGTTATTTAGCCAGTGTGAAAGTGATTGTAAATCAGCGTTTATTTTAGCTTCAAGTTCCTTTGTTGACTTTGCAGAGTAGTACAATAATGTATCATCAGCATAAAGAATCGACTTACAGTTATTAAGACATTGAGGCAAGTCGTTAATGAATATCAAGAAAAGTAACGGGCCCAATATGCTTCCTTGCGGCACACCAACGGTGACTGGCCTTGCACTCGATGTTGAATTGTTGATAGATGTGACTACTGTACGTGATGACAAATAGGACGTGAACCAGTTAATGACAGACTTTGAAAAACCAAGATTTCTTAATTTCAAAATTAGCAGCTTGTGATCTACCGTGTCAAACGCCTCTCGCAA